CAAAGCCACAGTGGAGGTAGAGAGAGTCCTTCCTAATCCACTAATCAAGTAGTCGATAGAAATTCCATCGACTACTTTATTAGCTAATTAACTGCAACTTAACATCCCTAATCACAACACCCATGCCATTTAGCTTGCCAGGTCATTCCGGCTCAGGAGATGACCAAGGAGCAGGATGGTCAAAGGCTCACACTACTGCAAGTCACAATGTAGACACAGGGGAAGCTGTCTCTGCCATTCAGTCCTCACTCACGAGAGCCACCTTAATCCCACCTATTGGTATCAGATTCCCACGTTACCTCCTTACCTCAGGCTGACAAGCATTCACCCTCCCTTCCAAACCCCAGGACAAAATACTTCTTCAGGAAGCTTACACGTATCATGCCACCATCTGCAACTTACACAAAGCGTCCTGCTCTTAGGAATCTCTGTCTACACTCCTGCCTATATGGGTGACACATTACTCCAGGTGTGAGCAACATACGTTATACTGCCCTAAGTGCCAGTGTGCACAGCGCTATGTTGGCAGGAGAATGTCTCCCACGGACAGTTTCTGCTGTTTGCAGAGGTGGGTTTTTAATGCTTACAGGAGAGTTCTCCTGTCAGCACATGCCATCCTCCCCAGATGCCCTGAGTGGCACAGCCATAGTGGTAGAGCTGTAGATGTGATGCTCTATTGAGGAAGCATCCTCTAAACCCCATTCTCCATCTATGTAACCGTGATATTGCATATACAGCTGGCCATGTGCAGTATTGGGAACGTCATTTCCCTATCCGTAAACATGTATCATCAACACACATGAATTGCACTGGCTGATTGGGTGCCTCCCAAAGTCTTTTAGTGACAAAGGAGGTCTATGGAGACAATGACAAAGGAGGAACCCAAAATCCAGGTGGGTGTGGTTGAATGGACATCTCCAGCAAGGGAGTTACAATTTGATGACTCACCTGCACAAGGCCATACCAAGGGAATTGCTCCTCTTTGCTTCAGCAACATCTATACTTACATAGAAGTTCAAATTAAGATACACAACTCCAGTGACGTTAATTGCATAGCTGGAGTTGACATACCTTAATCTGAACTTCAGTGCCATCTGGACAACAAGCGATAGATGGGAGCAAGTGCTCCTATCAGCTTCCCTTGCTCCTCATGATTTGAAGAGTACTGGTGTCGACGAAGGCGCCCTCAGCATTTGATTTAGCAGGATTAAGGGTCTAAAACAGTGTTTCTCAATGGTACTACGAGTACCCTTAAGGTACTTGAGAGAAGTCTGGGGGGAGGGGTACATTTACAAAACTGAATATTTGTTTTAAGTTTTATAGCATTTTATTATTTTTATACTTTTTACACCCAAAAATTTCATCATCCATCTGGCTACAATTAAGTTGTTTAAACAAATGTGCAATGGTAGAAAAAAAATCTGTGTCTGAAATCAGTAGGTACTGGAGGTACTTATAATTTTTTTTAAAGGGGTACTTTATTTAAAAAAGGTTGAGAAACACTGGTGTAAACACTTCTACAAGATTAAAAAGTCTAGGATATTTCAACTTGGAAAGGGGAATACTAAAACTGGATATGATACATCCTTGACTGGTGTGGGGAAAGTAAATAAGGAAATGTTATTTACCCCTTCACAAAACACTAGCGATGTAAGGGGTTACCTGATAAACATTAGCCTTACCCTTACTGGCATGCTTCTCAGGATAACCAGTTAACTGGCAGCCTAGCCTGGCAGGAGCAGCAGATCCAGCCAGGTGAGAGCAGCTTCCTGCTACTGATCCCAGTTAAACATACCATTTAAATGGTAAACTTAAACTGGGATTTTACATCCCTACATCATACAGGAACAAGGGATCACACAATGAATTATTCCTTTGCACAATTCAGTCAGCCTGTGGAACCCTTTGCCAGAGGATGTCGAGAAGGCTAAAATGATGACAGAATTAAAAAAAACCTAGCTACATCTATGGATGATAGTGCCATTCATGCCTATTAGCCAGGACGGGCAGGGAGGCAATCGTGTACTGGGTGCCTCTAGCCCAGGCATGTCCAAAGTCCGGCCCGCGGGCCAATTGCGGCCTGTGTTCCGGTTTAATACGGCCCCACAGGTAATTTGGCAATATCTATCTTTTATGGCCCCCAACGAATCCCCGAGCGCCGCTCAGGACTAAGGATGAGCTCGGGCGTGTTCGCAGCTCCACGTACCCGAACCCGCCGGGAAGCTGACCGCGCGCAGCGCTAATCACAGGTACTGAGACATTTTCCCGGTCCGCAGCTGCAGAGATCGGGAAATGTCTCAGTACCTGTGATTGGCGCTGCGCGCTGTCAGCTTCCTGGCGGGCTTGGGCACGTGGAGCTGCGAACATGCCCGAGCTCATCCTTAGACTCTTCACCACAAAGGCAAGATAATTCTTGTTGGGCAGTGTATTAGTGCTCGGACGAACACACTTAGACCAAAACCTCTGGCACTGCGCTCACATGATCTCTTCCCCTTCTGGTCAATTTCAAAAATGGCGACTGTAAATAAGAGAAGGAAAGTTGACAGTGAGGGCCACCGCTTCCAGGACAGGTGGAAAGTGGAATATTTCTTCACTGAAATATGGAATCACTGTGTTTGTCTGATATGCCAAGAGACTGTGTCTGTTTATAAGGAATTTAATGTCAAGAGACACTACCAGTCGAGACATAGCACATACGACAAGCTTACAGGGCACGACCGCAGTGAAAAGTTGAAGCAACTTGAAGCTGTTTTAATGTCACAACAGAAATTTTTCATAAGAGCCCGTGAGTCAAATGAAAATGCCACAAGGGTGAGCTATGAGGTGGCAACGTTAATTGCTAAAAATTGCAAATCTTTTGCTGAGGGTGACTATCAAAGAATGCGTTATGAAAATGGTTGAGAATATCTGTCCCGAGAAGAAGCAAGAGTTTGCCAACATTTGCCTGGCTCGTAACACTGTAGCATGGAGAATTGAAGAGATTTCATCAGCTATTAAGAGACAGTTGACGTGTTGACATCCAAAGGAGTGGATTTTGACTTCTTTTCAATAGCCTGTGATGAAAGCACGGACCTATCTGACACAGCTCAGTTGCTGATTTTTATGAGAGGGGTGGACGATGAAATGAATGTGACTGAAGAGCTACTTGACCTCCAGAGCCTTACGGACCAAACAAGAGGAAAAGATTTATTTGTTTCTGTTAGTTCTGCCATAGATGACATGAAACTGCCTTGGAACAAAGTTACTGGGATTATTACTGATGGGGCACCTGCCATGGTTGGTGAACGAAGTGGATTATCAACCCTAATCTGTAACAAGGTGATCGAAGAAGGAGGCAAAGCTATTAAACTCCATTGTATCATTCATCAACAAGTTCTCTGTGCTAAACATCTCAAATATGATCATGTTATGAAACCGGTGCTAAAGACTATTAATTTTATTCGCTCTAAAGCCCTGTGCCACCGCCAGTTTAAACAGTTTCTACTGGACATCCAGGCTGAATACGAAGATGTTTTATATCACAACGATGTAAGATGGCTCAGTCGGGGGTCTGCACTGCAGCGTTTCTACTCTCTCAGAAAGGAAATCGGAGAATTCTTGGAAACAAAGGGACAACCAATGCGAGAACTATCTGATCCTATTTGGCTGGCTGATTTGGGGTTTCTAGTTGACATAACAAAGCATCTGAATGTACTGAACACGAGTCTTCAGGGGAAAGATGCAGCGGTGAACCAGCTTTATTCACACCTCAAAGCCTTTGGGACAAAGCTGCAACTTTTCATAAGGCAGTTGTCACAAACACAGCCCAATACCATACATTTTTCAGCGTTGCAGGAAATAATGAACATTTTTCCACAGGACAATATCAGTGCGCAAACGAGCAGGTATTCAGCAGAGATCGCATCTCTGGCTGGGGAGTTTAAACCGCGCTTTCAGGATTTTGCAGCTATTGAAAGGAGGTCAGCCTTTTCTCCTCTCCATTCTCTGTTGACCCCGATGATGCTCCAGATCAGCTGCAGCTCGAGCTCATTGAGCTGCATTGTGACAGCGAGTTACGCAGTCGTCACCAACAGCTCTCTCTTGTGAACTTTTACCGCCAACTGGATAAGAGCCGGTTTCAAGAGATTCGAACATTGGCTAAGAAAATGCTGAGCTTGTTTGGCTCAACATATGTGTGAGAAGACATTCTCTGCTATGAACTTTAACAAGAACCGCGTGAGGACAAGACTGAGTGACTCTCACCTGCGTGACATTTTGCGCGTGTTCCGGTTTAATATGGCCCCACAGGTAATTTGGCAATATCTATCTTTTATGGCCCCCAATGAATCCATATGTATTGAGATGAATACATTGTAAAATCTCAGTTAATGTCAGTTGGTCTAAATCAGTTATAAATATATTTGGACACAACATGTATACTTGGTGTTATGTTCCTGTTCATATTTTTTTAACTTAAAAGTTGACAGACAACCTTTATTACCAATAATATGTAATGTACTTTACAATGTTCCTGACATATATTTCAGCTTCCTGGATTTTTTTTTTCATCTGGCCTTCAGATATGAAAGGCAGAGTGATTTAACACCTGTTTAGATTTGTCATCCATGTGACGAAATGAAAAGTATGCCGTTTGCAATAAACTTTGCATAAAATAGTTAATTTGCATTTAATTTTAATGGTTCAAAGAATGTCAGGCAAAATGGTCGGCCCTCGCGCATGTTCACTTCATCAAATCTGGCCCTCGTTGAAAAAAGTTTGGACACCCCTGCACTAGCCGGTTTCCCAGATGTTGGGTGTGGACCAGCAGGGATCGCTCACTTGATCACTGCCTGAGCCCTACATACCCTCGGAAGCACCTTGCATCAGTCAGCATCCGGAGGCGGGATATTGGGCAAGAGGGACAATCGGACGGAGCGATTCCGGCTGTTTTCGTGCCGCCGCGGGGCCGCTGAGCAGGGGTCTGGCCAGAGCTGGGGGAG